TGTCATTCCGGGAGTCGCTTCCACGCAAATTGACTTGTCTACGACGAGGATTACCGCTTCGGCCCCTCACCTTTACTTTACGACCAGTCGTCGCGGAAAGAGTAAAACGTTGTTCCATCGCCCGCGCATCCTCGCCCCCGCTCTTCAAATTACTGCCCGGACGTTAGGGGACTTTCCTAACCCCCGGCCCCCTCCCGCCCAGTCATCGCTCCCCTCTAAAACCTCTCCGAAAAGTGAGGATGGCGCATTAAACTGTCGTCACGAGCGCCGTTCCTTTTTTTCGGACATGACATAACCATTATGCGCACTCCATAATAACGCGAATAAATCCCCCCGTTCGCTATCGGCAGCCGCGCGCCACCAGCCCTGCCCGGGTCAGGGGCAGCCAGCCCGCAGCCAGCCGCACTGAGCCAAATCGCGAATAACTTAGTCTCGTCTGGCCGCGGGATATCCCCCCGGCCATGAGGCCAGGGGCCAGACGGCCAGGGCTGCTGGGGGGTTGAGCCTACTTGGTCGCAAAACCACCCAGTGCACACATAGTCGAAGAGACAATTTTTTGAAACGACAAAAAAAAAGCGATTCTGTAAGGAATAATCTAATGAAAGTTTCACATTTCTTGGTGAAACGTGTTTTTATTACCTGGCGCGGTTCCGGACTGATGTTTAACCGTTATGCATTCGCCTATACCTACGAGGCCTATGTTTAATATAGTAAATAAGAATTTAGTGTGCACAGAACGCCTTTCGGATCGAGTAGGAGAAAATTGGGAGGGGCCGATAGAGGAGGGGAAGGAGGTGTAAGCGCGTTAGGATGCTACGAACGTCTTCCAGACTCGCCGCAATATCTGTGCTCGAGGAGATCGAGAGGGGAGAAGGCAGGGGCGGGTTGGAACGTGGAAGAGAAGGGGGAAAATAAGTGGACACCATTCAAAGTTGCCGCGCGCTTGGCTCGTCTCCCGTCTCCTTTGTTTCCATCCCACTTCCTGCCGGCTTCTCTCTCCTTCCCCATTGCAACACCTTCACGTCACGGTTTCTGCTTTCCAGGGAGCCGAGCGGACAGACACGCTCACACTTACACTCACACACTCTTACACACACACGGAGCTCCCACGGGCTACATCAGCACCTGCCAAGGAGTCTGACGAACTTTGAAAGCCAGCAGCTCGAGCGAGCCAGCAGGCCAGGCCGAGGCCAGGGAGTGCAAAAGCGGAAAGGCCGAGGGAGGGTGAGGAAAATGAAAGAAAATGAAAGAAAAAGAAACTCCCCTGATGAAGAGGGCAGGGGCAGATTAGGGTGGCTGAGCGCTTCGAACCCATTAAAGTCGGCAATGGAGGAGGATCTCTAATAAAGACTCTGAAGGTACCGTATTTACACGGGTTATGGTTCTGTTTTACTTCCTGCAGGGCGCTATCTTGGACGGATCGTTGCAGCGAGCACCAGCGCAAGAGTGGATCTCATTTCATCCAATCCCTACTCTTCTCACTCCATCTGTCTTAATAGAGTACCTCTGCACTCCCAGCAGCGGGGGGTTCTAGAAGCAGCAAATGATCAAATGATTTTATTTGAAGGCACACTTATACCATGATATAATTTCATCATCCAAATGAACATTTGTCCTCGCCCTTGTAAAAAGTAATGAGGTGGGTGAAATAATTCGTAACATTGTAATGGCACGCACCCACCAAAAACAAAAACAAAAAAAACACTGGACAGGACTTACAGCAGGGCGCTCACAGGACAGAAGTACCGAAAAAGTCAAATGAAATTAAGTTTCAGATTTATAGACTGCACACTGTTAATTGACATCACATAACCATAGTTCGTATAGTTGTGTTACAAAGTCGTTGAGTGAAAATTGGTTGGTCTCTTTTATTCAAAAAAGTACAGATAGTGGTGAACTGGACAGTAGAGAAAAAAACGCACTAAGTCACCCACCGCTTTCTGACCAGCGACACGTGTGTTTGCCCACGTGCAGGCCGCAAACAGCCCCCGCGCCGCTCGTGATTTCCCACGCGTAACAGGTCCACCCTGAGCCTCGCGTCCCCAGGCGTCCCCGACGGCCACGTGACCGAGCGAAAGGGCAGAAGGTGTCTTGGGATACGAGGAAAACGGGCGCTCACGATGATAGGCACTTATTGGGTTTCACTAACGGGAAAAGTTCTGGACTTTCATAGACAGTAAAAAAAATGCAGTATTGTTGAACTTGAATGAAATGCTAAAAATACGAACTTTGCACGAGAAATCTACAAATTTCGATCGCCTCCAAACTAAACGTCAAAATATGAACCAAAAATCACAAACTTGAACTTCTTTATAAAAACTTCGATTATTTTTTACCCTGATGATTACCAGCGATTTGTACACATGGTTCGCGGTATTGTTGCCCCCCTCACCTGCTTGAAACGGCGAAAAGAACCAGACGCGGTATAGGGGGGGGGGGTGAAACCTATACCATCCAATAGAGAAATTTACAATTTTTCGAAACATTAAGTTCCTAAGAAAATGTCAGAAAATGCGTGACGTTGTTTCGCCAGAGTCGCGCAGCGATTCTTGGTTTCACGAGAGTCGAGCATAGACACTTGTTTTTTCTAGAAGTGCTGCGCCGTGCGACTTTTGAGTTGGAGACGAGCAACTTGCAAGTAAACAAAAAAAAAATGCATCTGGTTGCATCCAGTAAACGATGAAAAGTGTCCCTCTATATTTACTGTGTATAAGCATAACACATAGGTCACGACACAAACAACACAAAACTACGGTCACACCACACATGCAACATATTTCCTCCAGTAAAGTGCTAAAACCAGTGACCGTGCCGTCGATTTCACCTTTGATGAGGTACTGTGTGGGGTTTGCTCGATTGCCGCCGTCCCCGAGAGTTGCTCAGGGTGACCCTCGCCGGCGCCCAGCGCGACCGCAGCTGCCGCAGCTCGGCTGGTAACAAGCAGGAGCGCTCACAAGACCCTACACGGACGGCGGCAACAGCACGCCCAGCCACACCGGCGTCGAGATAAATTTTGAAGACTGGCAGCAATGGCTTGTTAAGGGTGGCCGCACTGAACAGCCCCACGGGCAATAAGCTGGCGGCCGGGCGGCGAGCCCGAGTCATCCTTTACCATCCGCGACCAACGACCAATTCCGCCCACTTGTACAGTCGGGTGCAAAACCTTCCGTCGCGGGCAGGGAGAGGGTTCGCCAGAGAGTAGGCGTCGTGAACCCTTCTCGCCGTCAATCTCCTCTCGGGTGAGGCCGGGGGCAGCGGCAGAGGGCGCGCGAGGGCCGAGGTGGGGCGGGCGAGATTTCCGGAGTGAGGTTCCACAAGTCAGTGACCTGCCAAGAAGAGGAGGCGGAGGCGGCGGGTAGCGAGCGAGCGGGGCGGGAGAAAGGACAGGTGCGTGAGGGGTGCGTGGGAGAGGAGGAGAGAGAGAGAGAGGGCATCAGCGCCACCCCCAACAATCCCCTGCTGGCTGTACCGAGCTGTGTGTCTCAATTTGCATTCGCGGTCGGAGGTAAATGGGGAGTACGAGGGGCGGAGGGGCGTGGAGGTTGAAAGGTGGGCTCGGGGGTCCAAGGGGAGAGGGGTGCACTGGGAGATGAGGAGAGATGGAGGAGGTCGAGAAAGGGGTGGAGGAGAAGAAGAAGGGGGGAGGGGGTGCTGGTACCGCTGCTGGAAGCGACGAGCCACCGGTGAATACGAAAGTGGCGCGGACATGGCTCGGCCCGCTGAGCTCGGCGGGCGGGCGACGTCAATGCAGCCCCACGCTGCGATGTGCACTCTGCGTGCGACAGCGGGATGCGGGCCAAAAAGCACACCACTCCACGTTGTGTCCCCCGTGACGTGCAGTGGCGTCTTAT